AAACTGAAACTGAAACTAGATGTTCATCTATTCACTTTTCTGTCACAATTTTCTGTAATACTAAAATCCTAGCGAACAACCCTTACCAACTCTGCAGATAACGTTTAGCGATCGATTTAAATCGCCATCATTGGATTTCAACGTTCAACTTTCGAACTCCGCCAAGCAATTTCGGGGACAACCAGCTACTGTGTTCTTGGATAAAATGACACTCATTTTGGTAACCAAAAAGTCCAAACAAAGTCTGATGTCCTTGTTTACAAGAAAATAATCATTATTAGAAACCCGCTCAAGCAATCATAAGTTTATTTTTGGAGTTGGTAACGTACCAGTAGCTTCGTTTTGATTCCCATCATGCATAAATGCTTCAAGATTAACGAAGTCCGTACCTCGCTATTAGTTGGGTGGATGATCCGAATGTGAAAAGCTCGGTGTTCCCAGTGGGATCTCTCAGCCCAGCAAGTAGAGCATGCACTGTACAAAAGCGTAGACGTCCTCTGCCAAAGTATTCAAATCATGTTCAGGTTTCTGATCTTTTCACAAGATGTTTGTCTTATATTTTCTCTCAAACAAATTTTTATTCATTTGCAATTCGATTTGTTGGAATCAAATAATTCTGTCCTCCTCTGAGATATTATTGTGAAATATCAACCCCGAACTTCAGATATTACTCCGTTTATATTTATTTCCTGTGGGAACCTTGATCCCTATCGCCCGTTTTCATCAATGGAACTTTCATTGAAGGAAAAAGTTATGTCTAATCGCCCTGCTCGTCATGCTTTGATCACGCGACTATCCTCAATCTTATTCTACAAATTCTTCACCACCTCTTGGCATTCCACTGACAACGGTGGAATTCTATAGTTTTACCCCTTCATTTGACCGTGCTTCAGTTAATGATAACTGTTCATTGAGTTTTGATTGAACTGCATCATTAGAAGCTGTTTAACCTAAATCACTTCTGACCCTCACTCGACATGCTTACAAATAACTCTTTTTGTTTTCCGGTTTCCATCGCTGTCTAGTACATTTGCGATTTTGTTCTCTCCATTTTATTGCAGAAACTGTATACTGCTTGTGACATTGCTCTCGGGCTGTTACTCACTCGTTGTCCCAGTTTGACCATCAAAGAGTACCCGGTGGAAGTTAAACTGCCCAGGTCGCTTTTTACAGCGGCTCCAGCCTCATTCCGTAATCCAGATTTCGCACAGTTGCTGGACACAAGCGAGAACACTACTCATGATCATGTTCCACCGGTCCTCTTGGATTCAGCTGCGGCCGCTCCCGGGAAAGCACGCATTCAGTTCACTCCGGTTAAACATTCACGAGTCCTGAAGGAAGGTCTCATGCCTTTGCAATTGCTCAAAGGAAAGGCCCCAAACCCCATTGATAACAAGTGAGTCTTCGGATTGCAAATCGCTTCGTGTTCCTTGGCTCTTTCATTGTTAACTCCCCCATGATCGACCTTGTTTATTGAAGGGTTTACCTTATGAACTTTAGCTCATCGATCGTATTGTTTTCCTTTACCAGATGGGGTATCATTTTGGGTCAAAAATTGTTTGCAGGAGATACTGGTTGGCAATCACTTATTGGTTCTACTCTTGTTCAACACCGTCTGTATCCCGTCTAGGGCCTATCCATTCTTGAGTTCGTTGAACCGTGCCGTGTTTATGTAGTCGTAACTCCGTTGCAAAATGGAGGCCTTTTCGGATTCTGCTAGTGCCTGATTTTTTTTTCAGTGAGACGTCTAGTTAGGGTTCTCTTTTTCGATTGCATTTAATTATTTTCTCAGTTAGTTCACCTCCTATCTTACTTCTCCCCAGACCACAAACACAATCAGAAACCAAATCTAGTCCTACGAGAGCCGATGATATTCTGGAACCTGTTGTACAACCGGCACCAACTCAACGACAACAACAACAAGCAGGACGCCCTAAAACGATTGCAAAGAAACAAACTAAACTGATTACCACTGTGGTCGTCAGTGATCCCTCCGTCTCCAGTCAGATTTCGAACCAACTTGTTGAATCATGTCAACCATCCACATCCTTAGCCGTGACGGACAATGCGAACGCTTTGAACAGTCCAAAGAAACATACACAAATTGTGCTCGGAACCCCAGAAATTGAGTCGGACAACA